TAATAATATAAGTATATATATATTCTATAATGTTACTGACGTAGAGTTGATCCTAATTTAAGATTAACCAGTACTCCTGCATTTCTTTAAAAATTCATGTAAATAAGGGGGTTTACGTACCTACCCTTCTGTTTCAACAATAGTTTACCCCAATTTGAATTGATATTGTGCATTACATGTTATACCACATAGCATACACGGAGTAAAGAGATAGTGATACATTGTGAAATCATATAAAGAAAACAAAACAATGCATCTATATTAAGCTACTTATTACACAGCAACATACATCTGTGCATTGCATAGATGTAAATAGAGTTCGACATTCGCATATACATGGGTAGTGCATATATGCACATTTCAGAAAGGGACTAATTTGATTGATATTGATTACCAATGTAAATTGCACGTTCACTACACAATACTCAACGTAGTCTTACTTACCTAGTACACACCCAATGATAATTATAAGCTGCAATACTCGTTATCGGTAAAACATTAATAATACAAAACAGGTGAATAGTTAAATTACCCATATATATCACAAGTGTGGAGAATTGTTCGACAAAGTTGGAGAAGTTAAGGAATTATGACGTAATTGTATTGTAATTCGCTACAGTATGCCTAAACAGTTAATATAGTGCAGTACATCCGCGAGTTGGTGAGTCAACGTCGTCCCTCTTGTAGGTGTAATTCCTCTAACATCAAATCAATATATACGAATAAATAAATATGCAGGATGTGGTTTAACTATCCACACCTTTAGCCTATGCACTTTCTTCTACGTGGATGACATCGCACTTGGATACTATTTCATGATGGTTTAAATGGAGAATTTCTATTAATACATTTAAGTCTAAAACCGTAACGCGAACTGCAATTTTACCTGTGGTTTTAACGGTTAAGGATTCAGCAAAGCCTTCACAAATCCGGGATTTTCGACGATTATTAAGAATAAAATTTGGCGGTGAATTTACTTGCAAAAATCGCCCAGCCGAGCGCTAACTCGTAGCTGGTATGATTTACCCAGCGTATACAAAACTGTAGACTGGCTACCAGCCCCCAAGTTTTTATGAAGAATTTCTCGGCTGCATTTTACTACTAGCTTATCTCCCCCTAGTTTAGAACTTAGTATAGAATCAAACATCGAAGTGATCCAAATGTTTTGAGTTAAAAAAAATCTTAAGAATTCAATATTCCAGAGACGGGGGCCAGTCTAACAAAACTGTAGTGGAGTCTGGTAGAACACATTCTACTCTACTGCTCAGCCTTCTGGAGAAAGACTAGACGCCATGTAAAAACAACAAACAGAACAGGGCTACCACACTTTTCCTGAAAAGAACGCATCCGACACTGGTAAACAGATGTTATGAATTGTTATGGGTCGTTTTTGCTCAACAACGCTACGAAGTGTTCAGATGGAGTTGTCACACATTAATTCGACGTCACAGACAAGATTTTATATCAAGTTTTATTGGTCAAAAAGTTGTTAGAAGATCGTGAGAATAGAAAGCCATCTGCTCGCCGACAATTACAGGGTTTACCAAATTACTGGTAGAGCTCCCTTTGTCGGCTGTATACTATTTGTTAATCAAAGATGAACAGTCGTGGTTCAGTCAATATTGGAACGACAAAGACAATCTGAACGGCAATTAACCTCGATCTTATTAAAAGAAACAAGGCTACAGAAAAAGTTTGTTATCAATTGTGATGTCATTGAAGAGAGTCTGGTTTGCTATACCTAGTCTATGCTGATACAAGTTTGATATAGCAAGTGATTTCAGTCTTACCTTTAGGAATGCCATGGTTTTATCAATCAATAATTCAATACTATCATGTTTTCCTAGTATCTATCTTCCTCCTCTTTGTTTGTCATTATGTTCCTTTCCTCTCTTTTAAGCGTGTTTACGTGTTTCATGGTCATGACATATACCAGGGGTGCAGAGAGCGAAAGTGAGCGTAGCCCCCGGATATCGAGGAGGCAGCAGTGACGTATACACTCATCGAACCCATCTCTACATTTCTTGTCCTACACTGGATCTTCTATGGGAATTTCACGATTAGTAAACTGGAAGAGAAATTTAATAATATACCGTTGCGCAAACACACAAATATAAAAGTATAAGTTTTGAATACAACACCGATTTAATCGAGGAAGACACAAGTCGATTACACACAAACTAGAGGAAACCAAAAAGGACAAAACCGAAGAAACAACAATGCAAAAATAAAACGAGGAAAATCCAACACAAAATCGAAGAAACAAGAAAACAAATCCACAAACAAATCCAAACAAAGACACACCAACAATACACAAACCTTAGGAACAACGACCAACAAAGCCGAACTCAAAACCTTAAGAACAACGACCAACAAAGCCGAACTAAAAACCTTAGGAACAACGACCAACAAAGCCGAACACAAAACTTTAGGAACAACGACCAACAAATGCGAACTCAAAACCTTAGAAAGATTTTAAACAATAAGGGAGGGGGAGGATTCAGATTTGTGAGACCAAAAAAGGACACGGGGGTGTAAGTAATGAAGAGGAAACTATAATGGCCATGTTATCTCCTATTTCATTATATATAACATTTTCACTCTCCCGGGTTTGGCATAACACAGACTAAAGGCATACAATTATGCATTTCATAACAATGCCGATCTTATTGAATTCATTTAGGAAAGAGCGAACTTTTGTATTCAGTAGGATAGGTTTTTAGCAGTGTAGGGTTATTTTTACGTATAATGACAGCGGAACAACAGAGAAATGTCGGATATGTTCATCTCATTGAGAGTGTGGTCGTAAATGGAATTTCGATGAAGAAGGTTCGTTATATGATGTACACCTGAAACGAACAAGTAACGGAGGAGGTACAAGTATATAAGTATTATGTTACTGAACAGACACCACACCATTGAAGTAAACCAATATTTGGTTTAATTGAATGTGTTAATGTAATTGTATGAAAGAAACTTGACACTTGATATATTTAATGAGACTTGTTTAAACAGAAATGACTGCCGGGTATTGTATGGTATATGCTATAAACTTGATAGGTTCAAATTCGATGACATGTCAAGATGGGTCGAGTCTCTGTCTGGCACTATCGAAAATAATGTCTGAACAATTATCCAGTTTCTTCTGTGCAATTATGAAATTAATTTTTATATAAGTATAGGCATCGTAAATTGTTCCTCTTATCGCATATCAAATTCCTTCCCGGTAAGTATAATAGATTAATGCTCAGATATCAGTCTTTGTTGAAAGGAAACGGTTGCATGAATATTTAGACGTATCGATTTGATGATTGCAGAGTCGTGATTTTTTAAACATTAAAGAATTGCAGACGAGCCAGCAGTGTCTAGAATGACTCTTGAAACCACGAGGTGGTATTACTGTATAAAGGGAGACAAATATAGCACAGAAGAAAACGTTCACTTTCATCCTTCAACATTTTAAAATAGCTTTAATCGCGGTATAATAGATAAACGGATAACAAAGTATTCCAAAGAACCAAACGGTACATAGATGACGATGCACATAAGAGTACAATTAAGTACACAAAAAAATGTAAAGGAAGATAATAAATTCTGGTTTCACTCCATCTTTTGGCAAATATTTTTAGAAAATCCACTGTCCAATTCTTTCAAAATATCTTAATCTAATGAGTATGTAGCGAAACTGGACTGGGTCAATTGGTAGAGCGTCCCTCTAGAGTTCGGTGGGTCGCGGGTTCGAGCCCCGGTCTGGCTGTGCATTTTTTCTTTCCTGTTATAATTACATTGGTGCCTGTGACCAACTCTTGTTTAAAGCATTTGGTGACGGTATGCTTGACAAGGGAATACCCGAACTTGGGTTGTGAATAGTTGTATCTTCGGGGGTGAAGAGTTAGAAAAAGGAGGGAGGAATGTAGCGGAACTGGACTGGGTCGATCGTCGGCGACCAGGTAGCTCAATTGGTGGAGCGTCCGTCTAGAGTTCGTATGGTCCCGGGTTCGAATCCATGTATGGCCGTGCATTTTTTTCTCCTGTTACAAATGTATAAACTTAAACATATTTGTTGCTTAAAACAATTTAATCAACATATGTCAGATATTTCAGCAGCCATAGTAATTCATTTTAACCGACATAGTGAGCATATTTAAACGGCATTCGTGAGCTATTTTAGCAGATTTATTGAGCTAATTAGCAGCCTTAGTGAGATATTTTAGCAGTCACTGTGAAGTGTAATGAAAATATAGAGATGCATTAATATTGCTAAACCAACACGACACATCGATGCACAGCCTCTTCCTAAAAATTTATCCTACTTAATTGTTATTGAAAAATTTCAACACCGCATTCCATTGATTTATATATTACATATTCTTGTATATTAAAAAATAATTTAACAAAATCTAACTTTCCTTTGCAAACTATTTATAGATCGATTCGTAGCTCAAAGCGTTTACTTTATCATGTTTTGCTGTCATTCATTTTCATTCCGACCGAAAATAATCATCGAAGTCTAATTATACCGACTGACGACGAGACATTTTTTAGAGATATTGCGCCGACATGGGCAGACATCATATATCATTTTTTTAACAGACCAAACCAACAGCGTCAAACAGCTGAGTTGCCGTCACTTAACCGGGGCTGATTGATATGTGACAGGTTGTATTTAATGTATTTTGTATATGTAAATCATCTGGTATGGACCATGCAGATCTTATATTGTCTGACATGGATCAGATCATTGTGTATTGTATAATTATTATGTAAGATATTTTAATATATTTGACATGGGTCATCACATAATTGATAACTTTCAATTATATCCATAACAAATAGAGAGCATATATACCTTTAATATATCTTGTATGTTAGGTTATGTATTAGATAATGTATATTGTGCCACTGCCCGGTTTAGGACTAGCTACTGGACATGAGTAGTGTTAGGGTACACCTTGACAAGTGACTTGTGACATGGACCGATACGATTGGTAAAGCATGTTTTTAGCTGTGAGTCAGGCAGTTATACATTATATACTCGGGTATAGTGGTATGAAGAAGGTAAAAGAGACAAGCACATATTGAAGTATTTTGGTAAGTTAGATTTGGTCCTTCTAGCTAATTCTAATATAAATGTTTAATGAATTTATTGGTTACTATAATAAACAATAAATGAAATTGAGGTTAAATACATTTTTAAGTAATTTGATACATTTTTGAATTAGATGATATAGTCATTTTTATTCTGTTGAAATCTACAAAGTTGCAAATGGTTTTATTATTTATATTCAGCACTATGGTATGTAAGAGTGATATTGGCAAATTTAGTGAGAAAGAGCATTTTATTGATTATCAGGTTGAGAATTGAATCCCAGAGAATTGACCAGGAAACATATAATCAAAGAACCTATGTGAAAAAAAAACCTGCATGATACTGTAGGGTAAGTGTACAGAAAGTAATGAGATATGTATGTAATGTTATATGTGGAAAGTAATATGTATTAATGTAATTAATCATGATCGAGGAAGTTCTATAAATCAGACCTTGAGACTAGTAATTGAATACTATAAATGGTATTTGTAATTAAATAACAGAGCCTATTTACGCAATGTTAATTGATGTAACTATACTAGTATATAGATCTGTGTAATGTAACATGGTGATATATATATTGTAACTTGTGTGGAAGAGAGTTGTTTCCCTTTAATATATTGTATGTACTGAATGGTGGTTATTGTTTCTTTGTAGGGTTTGAAGATGATAATAAAACATAGAATTGGAAGCATCACGTCCATGTTGTATGTTTTCAAAAACCAGACTTTACAGATATATAATAGAATATGTTAAAACGAATGCGCCTTTGATCATATCACAGTCAAGATCAACAAAACCTTTCCTTCTAATGAAATAATTCAAGCTTCATCGATACGTTGATCAAGAGAAAAAGCATGGCTGCCACACAGCAAGATGACGATCGAAAGCAACAGTTCGACTGGCTGTATCCAGAATTACTTTCTAAAGATGGCTTGTTAGATATATTGAAACAGGTACTTGTTAAGATAATTGTTTACCTCGGTCCACAGATTATCAGTTAGAGGTCAAATACACACAATCTCACACGGGAAGTACTAGTGCCTCCCTCAAATTTAGAGCAACCAGGGGGTTGTTTTAGTCCAAGGCCGCATTCGGTTATCACGATCAAAACAGTTGGACCAGAGCTCTTCGTTTATGAAATAAGGTCGGACCTCCTAGCAATCTGCTGCTGTTTACATGCGAGCCTTGATAAAGCCTTGCAAGGCCTGCATAAATGTAAAAGATGTGGATTAATTAGGTTGCCTTACAAGCGTCAGCTGTAGGGAATTTCCCTTTAGCTTAGCGGTAGAGCATCGGGCTGGAGAGCCAAGGGTCGCGGGTTCGAGCCCCAGCGACGGCACTATCTTTATCACTTTTCCTCGTCCTATTACCTAAACATGTGTAGGTCCGCCAGGATTTATACCCGGAAATAGGGGTGTAACGATATACCGGTATACCGGTATATTGTGATACAGCTGAGAAACGATATGTATTGCAATACGATTTTCCATATACCGGTATTTTCGATATTTATTCTCCATGAATTATTTTGAAATTTTTCATTCACATTACGATCAAATTACAATAAAACCAGCTAAGTAGTCGTAGGCGCTTTCTCGACGTTTTTGTTTTTTGTCCCGGAAGCGGTAGTGTGTTTACAGTAAACACGCATGTGCGAGCGAAAACGAAAGTAGTCGCGGGAAAGATGGCGGAGGAAAAGGACGAAAGCTTCAGCATCATTCCTAATAAGAAGGCTAAGTCCGATATATGGCAACACTTTGGCTTGAAGCAATACAAGGAAAAAACAAGCGTTGAACCGGGCGTCGCCGTGTGTAAAAAATGTAGAACAGAGGTGAAGTACAGTGGCGGAACAACCAATCTGGGCGTGCATTTGGACCGCCATCACAAAATGACAGTCATTGGAAAAAGTGCAAAAAAATCATTCGAGTCGTCGATTGGTACTGCTTGTACTAGTGGTGGTAAGCAGAAAACTTTATTTGAACTCTCGCAATCTAAGTATAGTAGAACGTCTGAGAAGTACAAGCAAATTACTGCTGCCATTGGAAAGTTCATTGTTAAAGACTTGCGTCCCTTTTCCATCGTATCTAACGAAGGATTTTTGGAATTGATGAAAGTGCTTGATCCTCGTTATGATGTACCCTCGCGTATTCATTTCTCAACAGTTATTATTCCTGACTTTTATGAAGAAGTAAGGTCAAATGTTTTGAAAAGTATGTCAAAATCTGAAACTGTTGCTTTGACAACAGATGGATGGACCAGTAGAGCGACAGAATCTTATGTAACAGTCACATCAAGTTTTATCACCAAGGATTGGAAATTACAAAACTTTGTTTTACAAACCCGTGCTCTACCGGAAAGCCACACAGGTATTAATATCGCTAATGTTCTAACAACCGCTATCAATGAATGGAATATTCCTAAAAAACCCTATGTGCCACTGGTAACGGACAATGCCGCAAACATGTTGGTGGCAGCTAGGGAGGCTGACTGTAAACCACACATTGGTTGCTATGCTCACACTTTGAACCTCGCAGCACAAAAAGCCCTGAAAATAAACTCTGTTTCTAGGATTCTTGGACGTGTGAGGAGAGTCGTTTCATTTTTCCACCGAAGCACTACAGCAGCTGCTGTATTGAAGTCTAAAACTAAACTACTTTGCCTGAAAGAAATGAAACTGGTACAAGACGTCAGTACTAGATGGAATTCTGCTGTAGACATGCTGGAAAGATACCTGCTCCTGCAACCAGCAATATTTGCTGCTTTGATGTGTAAAGATATTAAAAGAAATCAACATGAGGTTTCTACACTGAGCTGTGATGACCTGAGATTAGCAGAGGAAATCATGGAATGTTTACGCCCTTTGAGAGAAATTACACAAGTCCTGTGTTCTGAAAAACTCCCTACTGTGTCTATTATTTTGCCATTACAAAAGAAATTGTTGACCCAAGTACTTGTTGAGAGAGAATCAGACTCCAACATAATTAAACAGATGAAGAATGCCATGTCTTCTGATTTATCAGAAAGGTAAATTAATTTTTTTTAATATTTCTATTGACTATTATATTTGTAATATAAGCCATGAAAATTTCAATTAAAAACAATTTTACAAACACAAACATTGCATTGATAGTTTATTAATCTTAAATTTATGGTATTGAACAGTAAATAAAATGAATTGCTATTTAAAATAGTACATGTCAGATTTCATTTTTTTTTAAATTTTTATTTCATTTCACTCTTTCAATCTAAAATTATAAACAATTGTCAATTTTCAATAAAGGTTTTCATTTTTCAATTCCAACTTCCACTGTTGTGTTTCAGGTATACTCCCATTACTGATTTTCTTGAGGAATGCTCAGCTGTAGACCCAAGAATTAAAGTGTCTTTCAGGCCTGCAGATGAGCAGTTCATGGTTTACAACAGGTTGTCACTGATTGCAGGAAGTGCTACTCCCATCAAAGTCAAAACAGAACCAGGACTTGAACAAGTTGGATCGGTTCAGCCAGGCCCAGTATTACCAAATTTACCACAACTACAAGAAGACACACAGAGTAAATAATTTTAAAATACAAAATGGATAAATTCACCAATCAATACATGAAGCTATAATTTTGTTACAAAATATATTTATCAAAAATTAAAAATAAAATAAGTTAAATAACACAAACAAATCATTTTATCTTGTAAAAAACATAAAATGTGACATTTCTCAATTTTGACTTAATTTTAATTTCAGGTCAAGATGAGTCAACTGCTGCAGCTGAAATGGATACTTCTGGCCCTCCTGGACTCTCCTCCATTTTGAGTGATGTCATATTTGTCAAACATGAGGAAGGTGTATTTAAATCCCAGTTGGAGAAAGCTTCAGATGAAGTTGCATGTTACAAAGAAATGGAACTTCTTCCCATGGATCAGGACCCATTGAATTGGTGGAAAATGCATGAATTACAATTCCCCCTTCTATCATTAATTGCAAAGTGTAGATTATGCATCCCAGCTACATCAGTCCCATCTGAAAGAATCTTTTCAACTGCAGGGGATATTGTTACTGCCCAAAGGTCACAGCTGAGTCCTGATGTTGTGGACAAGTTGATATTCTTGAAAAAGAATATGTAAACCACTGATCAATGTAAACTTCCAGTAACTTACTAACTTTCAAGCAATAAATGCATATAAATTAAACAGGATTGTTTGTTGTTGTAAATGAGTACTAGGTCAACACAATATTACACTTATTTCAGGTACTTACCTTTTCGTTTTGACAGTTTCTGCTATTTCTGTGTATCGCAATACGTATCGCAATATGACTCTCCAATATCGCAATATATCGCAATATGGGTTTTGCTGTATCGTTACACCCCTACCCGGAAATGTTAAAATTAAAAACAGACAAACCGGTTGATGACACGATACGCGAAAGGGACCCAAATCCTCTTGCCCAACACCAGAATCTTGACATTATGACAGATATAAATATGACGTAGGGCATTTTCTGTTATAATGTCAAAAGCCTGGTGTTAGGACCAGAGAAGTACCTGGACCGTCCTGTTAAAATTGAAGGCTAAATATACTGTTGCTAAAAATACCGCTGTTTAATTTTTATCTAGTTCGTTTATTCATGTTAACAGGTATTTTTTTATTAAAATGGTCGGCGTGTATTACCCCAGAAAAATTACTTAATTTTACTAAACAAGCCATTCTGATTGATATGTCTCGCCAATGCCCTGCTTTGACCATCAATGCACATATCGGAGAAACTAAGTTAAAAGCAACAATAAATTAATATTAATGGAGATGCTGACAAAGTCAATGGAACATGAAAGGTAGCTATGGGCTGCATCCAGCATTTGATGCATGGGCTGAGAAGTACTATCTAAGATGCATGTAGGTCCAAGTTTGGTTGGTGTAGCACTTATACTTTCAGAGTAACAAACTTAAATGCAATAACTTAATATTGATGGAAAGGCTGATAAAGTCAATGGATGATGAAAGGTGGGCAGCATCAAGCATTTGATGCCTGGGCTGAGATATACTACCTAAGATGCATGTACGGTGCAAGGTTGGTTGGTGTAGTACTTATACTTTCAAAGAAACAAACTTAAACACAAAAACTTAATGTTGATGGAGATGCTGACAAAATCAATGGACCATGACAGGTAGACCGCATCCATCATTTGATGCCTGGGCTGAGATGGTCCACCTAAGATATATGTATGGTGCAAGTTTGGTCGGTGTAGCACTTATACTTTCAGAGAAACTAACTTAAACGCGAAAGCTTAATGTTGATGGAGATGCTGACAAAATCAATGGACCATGACAGGTAGACCGCATCCATCATTTGATGCATATGCTGAGATGTACTGCCTAAGATGCATCTATGGTCCAAGTTTGGTTGGTGTAACACTTATTCTCCCAGAGAAACTAGCTTAAACACAAAAACTTGATGTTGACGCCGCCGTCGCCAGAAAAGCAACACCTATAGATATATATGTCTCGCTTCCACTTCGTGGCGGCGAGACAAAAATTAAACAGCAGTATGCTTCACTTTTTTTAGCAACAGTATACTTAGCATTTAATTTAACAGGACAATCAGTTTGCTATCGATTCGCCACTACATACTACAATGCAACATGAAATTTTAATTCATCTTGTCGTCATTGAACCATGCCATTATATATAGAATCACGTGCCCAGTTTCTGTGCCAGTCAATTTTGAGCATAATCAGTCCAGTAAGACGGAACTATAGCAGGAAAGCTAATTCATTCCAAAATAATTACTCTTGTATCTGCTACATTTTTGAATGACAGAATATTTTGGAAAAGATATTCATGTACTAGCATTTACTAAGATATAAAGGAAATTAAATAAAATACTTAGTATATATAAATAATGTAGGGATGTCATACCTTTTGGTTTTGATCAGATTGTTGAATAGCCAGATTGACAAAGCCATGTGACAATCATGTCATTTTGCTAAGCAGACAATATGGTAGAAATATATTAATGTGTCATACAAAGATCTTGTTAAAGATTTACCTTCAAACTTTATTTTTCTTTCATGCAAAACAGCTATTTTTCTACAGACATTTTAGTAAAATAGGGTGAACTGGCTTATGTATTTGTGTTTTCATCTCAGTCTTCACACACATTTTGGAAGTGTTTACATCTGTTGCCAATAAAGAACGATGACAGTGAGTAACAAAGTTTGATTATGCCCATTGCGATGCTGAACAATCAGAGCTCTGAAACTGATTCACTGACAATATATATAAATTGTCATCTGATTTTTTAGGTCACCTGAGACAAAGTCTCAAGTGACCTATTGCAATCGCCTTTTGTCCGTCATCGTCCGTCGTGCGTACGTAAACAATTTACATTTTCAACAAAAATAGTGGCTGATTTTGGCCCCAGCCCCCAGGGGCCTGAAAGGCGGGGCCAAAAAGGGTCAAATTGACTAAAATTTCAAAAATCTTCTACTCAAGACCCAGATATGGTAGAATCAAATACTCTTCATAGATGGAAGGGTCTTAAGGTGCTTTACCAAAATTGTGAATTTCTTGACCCTGGGGTCTCACGTTTCCCCCTGGGGAGGGGGTAAACTTTACTCTAGTTTATGTAGGGAAATCGCATTTTGGACCAACATTTGTTAATTTCCATTGGAAGTAATTCAATTTGGGTTAGCATTATCAGTATTGGATAGCAGTTTGATGGTATGCACATATCAGCCCTGACTGACCCCCAAGGGCTGATGGTAGGGGCCAAAAGGGTTGAATTCACTGAAATTATAAAATCTTCTTCTCAAGACCCAGATATGGTAGAATCAAATACTCTTCATAGATGGAAGGGTTTTAAGGTGTTCTATCAAAATTGTGAATTAAGACCCTGGGGTCTCAGGTTTTCCCCTGGTGAAGGGCAAAAGTTATTATGACAAATGATACTATGAATATTACATGTTGATAACTTGATTGGAATTATAACCCTGAGTTGACAGTTTGATACTTTGAATATTTTGAGCCAGCTCTACCCGCAAGGGCGCCCAAAGGAGTCAGTGTGCTAAAAATTCTTCATTTTCCTTGTTTAGAATCAGAGGTGCTAAATTCAAATACTTTTCAGTCTTAAATCCGTATGCTAGATATTGAATAAGGTTGTTTTATTGTTTTTTTGTCACTTTGAATAATACTTCTGTTCATGTTTTAAAAACAAAAATCAACTCACTGTATAAATATATCAGAACTCGGGTGACCGTAAAGGCCCATGGGCCTCTTGTTAATATTAATGCACATAATTATTACCTATAATGATTGCTGCCTCTTCAGTTCTTTTGTTTTCTACAAAATTTTACAGAGATATGTCAGCCATTCAAATCTGGAGAGTCTGGAGAAAGACGACCTGGTGGAGCTGTACTATAAGTATGTCATCCCCTTGCCACAGAGGAAGTACAAGATGAATCGTAGAGGGCGTGAGATGACAAGAAAACAAATCATGCTTGCCAAGAAAAGAAAAATAGTGGCGCCTGATGAAACGGAACCTGCCAAAAAGTGGGTAAAATATTCTGTCAAATATTGTTAATCTGTTTTTGTGATCTTTTGTCACACATTGACACACCATCAAAAGTGAAAAGTTTTTATTTTAAGTCATATTTTTTTATTGAATTTAAAAAATTACCTTGGTGGTTTTGTTTCAGAAAACGGCATGAAGACAACACCGTTAATTCCCGGTTCATCACATCATTTAATGATCCTTCAAAGGCGGAGAGCCGCCTCAAACCTCCTCCATCATGTATTGACTTAACCAAGAAAACTATCAAGCTGGGATCCAGTTCAAAACCATCAGCAACAGAAAATAATGATTCTAAAAACGATACAGATTCGCCACCAACGAAAAAGAAAATAAAGTTGATAACATTTTCATCATCAGAAATTACTCCAACAGTATGCATCAAAGAAAAATCTCCAGCCATTTCTCCTCCTGTGACGTCACCAACAAAGGATGTATTAATTAGCAGGATTAAAACAATCTCTCTCATTAATCAACATCTTACAACTTCTGAGACTGGTGCTAAAGAGAAGCCAAAGACATCAGCTGATAACAATTCTACCACTTGCGAAAGTCCAAACAATTCCACAACTGAAGCAAAGGAAGAAAGTCCTGAAAAAGTTTGTATTTCACACTTATGCGGAGGTCTTTGAAACATTGGAATCATATTTTGAAACTAGTAATAGTATCACCTCACAGCAAGTGTTGTTAGGTAATGTTGATTGATCTTGCTTCCCAAAAAATCAAAAATATTTTTCTTGCAGTATTATTTTAATACATTTATATATTGGTTGTAAAAGGTTATCTTGTTGGATCTCTTGACACAAGTCTTCAATTTATTGAACAATATGAACATGGTTGGTGGATTTGAATTATTTCATATCCTAGCTGTAACATTTAGATGTACTTCACCAGAAATATATTTAGGATTAAAAAGGACGGCTAAGTTATATTATAAAATTAAAAGTATTTCTTAAATAGAAATAAATTCAGACATTGACTGATTTACAAATACAGACTTTACAGAAAGAAACTTGATATTGATAGACCTGGTATATGTATAAATTCTTACTTACTGTATTTTTTTCTTTTTTCTTTTGCAGGAATCCAGTGAGACTTTTAAGTCTAAAAAGAAGATTAAAATAGCTCGGATACCATGGCCTTAGATGTGTGGTGCTAATTTCAGAAAAATGAAATTATATGTGAAAAAATGAAAACAGTTGTGTATTTGTAGTAGTAGAGCGAACAACCTTGCCTTTCTGAGCCCTGTGGACAGGAGAACAAGATCTCTTGCCAAGTGGTATTATTTTAGCAAGACTGGTACAGTTCACCATTAGGAAAATCTTTCTAGGTTTACTTGATGGCATGCTGGTACCTACTTATGTAGTTGGGTAAACTGGAGCAACCAGGATAAAGTGTCTCGGGTTCCAGACGAGTATTAGCATGTACTGTGTGTACGTGTATTGGGAGTCAAACTCCAGACATTTTAGTCAGTAGAAAATGCACAATATGTGGAAGAGAATGTTACGTTGCCAAAATTAACACAAGTCATGCTAGAACTTGTCTATTTTAAGTATTTAAGTCAATATTTTCAAAATAAATTGATGAATTTTTATCTCAAGGAACCTGAAAAATGTATTCTTGTGTGTTTTGTATAGTTATCAATTTATAATGATACATGTTGAAAGGATATGTGTAATGTTGAACACACATACCATCGTATACATTACTTAAGCAATGAATGATTTAGCAAATGTTGTTATGGTCCTATAACACGTTGCTTTTGATGACAAACTTAATAACGACCGGTAGAGCTTTATGTAACTTTGTCAGCAAGAGAAATGTGTTTTATAGGGCCATAACAATATTTGCTAAAATATTCATTACTTATATTAACGTTTTGAGTAGTTATGCTTTATTGATTTATTTCGAACAGTTTTTGAACAACAAATTAAGTGTTGACAACAATGAAATTGATGATGTCACAATAGCAAATGTTATCATAGTCTCATAACAACATTTGCCTTCTCAATGCATTGCAATGGAAGGATGCATAGCAAATGTAAATATTATTACATACTTGTCTGATATAGGCCATATTGTTTGTGTTATACTGCGAGCTGTGCATGAGCCACATCTCAGGACAATCAATATCTGCCCAGCATGTTGTCATATCTGCCATACAGCCCTGTATCTTTCTACAATTCAGGTATAACTGAAGATCCAACACAGCGAGACCGAGACAGTTTGATATGTTTAATGTTATATGATGAAAAGATTATGATATATTCGTTTCTATATCCTACACTTCATCAACCCTGAGGCTGATATGAGGATCTGGAGTTATCATGGTATAGGATATGAAAATAACCATAAACAAGTGTAGTATATAAATATTGCTGTACTTTAATATACAATAAACGATATCACTGCATCGTAATACACTGCAGCAGCTATGAAAAAATAAATCATACAGATTAATTAACGCAGAGGTTACCTGCACATTTTCAACAGCTTAGGTCACATAAAGTTTGTGTCCACTTATATGTGCTGATATTACGCAGAGGTTACCTGCATATTTTCAACAGCTTAGGTCACATAAAGATGGTGTCCACTTATATGTGCTGATATTACGCAGAGGTTACCTGCATATTTTCAACAGCTTAGGTCACATAAAGATGGTGTCCACTTATTTGTGCAGATATTACATGTACAGAGGATGAGTATTTTGCATTTCAGTGTTTTGACCTTGACACCTGGCTGTGACTTTGACACTGGGGATACAGACCTATTTATACATTATGTACATACTGTAACTCTCGTTAAGACACACAAATCTACTGTATAAAATGAGTGGTGTATAAAGCTCACCTGACCTTAAGAACCTTGCAAGCCTTTGTCAGGTGAGCTTATGACAACTTCTTCTCAGTAACCAAAAGGCCTAGGGTGATGATATTTGGCCAGAAGCATGCTGGGATGAAGGGCTACCAAGTTTGTTCAAATAAATGACCTTCATCCATTTTCAAGGTCACAAGGGTCAAATATGTTAAAATCTTTAAACAACTTCTTCTTAATAACCAAGAGGCCTAGGGTGATGATATTTGGCCAGTAACATGCTGGGATGAAGGGCTACCAAGTTTGTTCAAATAAATGACCTTGACTTATATTCAAGGTCACAGGGATCAAATATGTTTAAACCTTTAATAAACTTATTCTGAATAACTGAGAGGCCTATGGTGCTTTAATTTGGCCAGTAACATGCTGGGATGAAGGGCTACCAAGTTTGCTCAAATAAATGATCTTGACTTATATTCAAGGTCACAGGGGTCAAATATGTTCAAAAAATTTAAACAACTTCTTATAAATAACTGAGAGGCCTAGGGTGCTATAATTTGGCCAGTAACATGCAGGGATGAAGAGCTACCAAGTTTGTTCAAATGAATGACCTTGACATATATTCAGGGTCACAATGACTTCTGCTTAATAAGCAAAAGGCCAAGGTTGATGATATTTAATCTTTAAATGATTTGTTCTGTATAACCAAAAGGTCCAAGGTAATGATATTTTGCTAGAAGGATGCTGGGTTGGAAGACTAAACTCTGTTCAACCTTATGTCCTTGTTCGACATTCAAGGTCACGGGGGTCATATGTTTAAATCTTTAAATAGGTTCTTATGAATCAAACACTGATATTCTGCCTGTAGTTGTATTTTAGTACACTTTTAAGATTACAAGTGTGAGATTAATACAAGGTGAGCGATTCAGGTCCATTGGGCATCTTGTTTTATTTTCAACAAATTGTATAAAAAAAACAGCTCACTTAAAGAGACATTTGTTCAGTAGCAAGCAGGGATGAAGGGTTTTAATGTTTAAAGGATCAAATGATCTTGACCTGCTTCCAAGGCCAATATATTTAAACATTTCAATAACTTCATTTTTGTAAGCAAGAGGCCTACCATCACCATATTTGGCTTGTAGCATGCTGGGATGAAGGGCAAATAATTCAGTTTAAATGAATGACCCTGACTCTCATTCAAGGTCACAATCAAATAAATTCAAATACATCAAAAGAAATTCCGAATGTAAAAAGTAATAAACTTAATCGAGAATCCATGATGTGTATATCAATAATACTTATAGTTAACATTTAAAAAACAAGTTCCTGTGTTGACCGACTTTGAAGGTCAAAAGCATGTGTGAAGAAAAACAGGTGAGTGAAACAGGTATATTGGGCCTCTTGTTTTGGCTGCAGTGGAATGTACCTGCAGACTGCAAGCTTATCAAGAAATAACAATAACGTGTAGTCAAACAAGAGGCCCAGAGGGCCTGTATCGCTCACCTGGATACCAAAGCAATCATGGCAAAATATTCTCCGAATGTTATCAAGGGAATATGCCAGACCCCAAGGCCAATCCTTGTAGCATATCTGTATTAGATTCTTCATGCCCAGCAATTTCATGTATGGTTATGGGTTGGGGATCTCAACTGTTTCCAAGCTTTGACTCAGAAACTAGGTCCCTAGGGTTGTGGCCAGACCCCAGGATCAATTCTAATATCGTGACTGCATTTGTCTCTTTTTGCCCAGCATTTGTATATATAGATTTGGGGTGGGAATCTCAACCATTTCAAAGTTATGACCCAGGGGTTAAGTCTGCAAGGGTGGGGCAGACCCTGGGGTCAATTCTAATATCATGACTGCATTCGTCTTTTTAAGCCTAACAATTGTATATATAGTTTTAGGGTGGGGATCTAAACCATTTCAAAGTTATGACCCAGGGGTTAAGTCT